TTTAATAAATGGGGGAAGGGATTAATCCCTAAACCCAAATCCCTAAACCCTAAACCCTAAACCCAAATCCCTAAACCCTAAAAGTATCAAAACCTAAATGCTGGACCCTGAAGCTGAGCCATGGAAGTCCAAGATGGTCCGAGTTCGGGAGGCTTGGCTTTCGGGGTTTGAGGGATTCCGGGTTTAGGGTTTAGGGTTGAGGGTTTAGGGTTTAGGGTTAAGGGTTCAGGGTTTAGGGTTCAGGGTTCAGGCTTTAGCGTTTAGTTTGGGGTTTAGGGTTTGAGGGATTCAGGGTTTAGGGTTCAGGGTTTTAGAAATTTCACAGGCTGAGGGTGTGCAGAGTCATTCTTGTGCAGAGTTTGGGTTCCTGCGAAGCTCAGGGTTTAGGGTTTAGGGTTTAGGGTTTAGGGTTTAGGGTTTAGGGTGCGAAGCTCAGGTAAAGTTGTGAAGCTGCGACCCTGGTCTGGCAGGCAGCTGTTGGGGGAGGGGCGTTTAGGGTTTAGGGTTACTTGGAGGCCGAGGGGTATAATTGGGGTAACTCCATTTAGGGTACTTATAAGTCTACTTATAGTTGGGGGAGGGGCTTGAAGGTTTGGGTTATAAGATTGCGGCCTAAATAATTACCCATGCTAGTCCTTAAGGTTCCTTCTTATAACTATACCATTCCTTAAGGTTCCTTCTTATAACTATACCTGAATATGCCCCCCCATACTGTGTTCCTCAACTTCGCGGCGTTTCATCACAAGGCCGGCTGCCCGCTGGAATGTCTGGATTTGCTAAGGGATACGCCTCAGACTAGGGTTTACCCAGAGGCTCCAAAGTAGTTCCTTTTTGGGGTTTGTTATGGTTTTTTGGTAAGGAATTTTAGTATACTATCCAAAAAGAAACTACATAGGAGCCCTTGGGTAGGGTTACGGGACTCGACGCGTGAGGCATCGGCTGTCACAGCATAACCTGGCTGACAAGCTCTAGGTTCATACTTCATCGCTCAGACACTATAGCATATGAGTGTTTCGTAGAACGGTTTAGGGTTTAGGTAGGGTTTGGGGTTTAGGGTTGCCCCGTAACACCCCAAAACCCGAAGCCCTCCCATCCCGAAGCCGTAGCCCTGGATGGCCCTGGTCCCTAGCGGAGTGGGTGCCCAGACCTTGCAAGGATCCCAACCCCAACATCAAAGCCCATAGTTTAGGGTTTAGGGTTTAGGGTTAAAGTAAACAACACCAACAAAGCAAGCAGCCTAATCCGTAAAACCCAAAGCCCTAAACTCTCAACCCCGTAAAGCCAAACCCTAGAGGTTTCAGGGTTCCTAAACCCTCGGAGATCTGTACCCTGTCACCGTTTCAAGGATTCCACGTTTCAAGGCTTCCGGTTGTCGAGGCTGACTAGACTACACCCCACCCCATACGGTGCAGGCCCAAAGGTTCCGAAGGATGCATTAGACTTCAATACCTCCAGAAGCATCCCTTCCAGAACCTTTGCCTGCCCAGCTTTGACCCTGAAGCTTACAAGGCCTGACCCAAAACCCTAAGCCCTAAACCCCAAAGCAGGACGCGTCTCTCGGACACACTGCGGGCAAGATGAAGCCCGGATGCCAAAAGAGCATCGTTGCATAGCTGGTACCGGTACCGACGCCTGGACAGAGCTGTGCTGCAGAGGTTTCGGTCCTCGGTTTGAGATTGGATATTCATTGTTGGATTCTGCTGGTAGTAGTAGTAGTAGTAGTAGTAGTAGAAATAGTAGTAGTAGTACTAGTAGTAGTAGCAGTAGTAGCAGTAGTAGTAGTAGTAGTAG